TCCAGGAGAACATGGCGGATAGATAGCAGCAGCTTTGGAGGCTCTCTGAGAAACTGCACTTAAAATCCAGGAATGGTGCCGGGTGAGAAGTCCTAAGCAAGGGGAGATATACTTTGCCAATCCAGGAACAAACTAAACTGAAGAGAAACCAACTGGAAACGCAATCCCGGTGATATAACAGGAACAGATAAGGTCTCAGCACAGAAGCTGCAGCCCGTGCCACTGAAAGCTGTGATTTGAATTTCCTGCAGCCACTGCTGCATCCCAATCAGCACAGCACGGAGAGAGGCGTGAAAGCTCTGAGAGTGGGAAGCAGTGAATGGAGTTGAGAGTGGGACTGGCCAGGAGCCCTGCATTGACCTGTGGTGAGTGAGCGGATTGGGGACCCTTCTATAGAGTAGGAAGTTTCAGCAAAGGACATACTGGGACCAGGCGGATTACCCGGAACAGGATGCTGCAGTGACTTCAGTCACATATTCCTCTCTCAAGCGGGATTGGTGGGGAGTGCCTGGCTTGGATGATGCGGCTGACTAAGACCCAGTAAGCTAGCCCAAACCAGGTCCCAGCGCTTGGAGGTGCACCCTAGCAGTGAAGCCTTTGGTAGGTTGATCTGGAGGGGCGAGCCCAGCAGAGGCTACCCAGGTCTGTGTCTCCCTAGTACACTGCAGTGGGCGGGAACACCTAGCCTGCGCAATTCAAACAAACTGTAACCGACTAAGAAAAAAACTGGGCCTCCTATATATGCTTATAGAAAAGGAACAAAAAAATATGGGAAGAGGGAGCAATAAGAAAGGGTCCTCAGCCCCCAATCCTGAGAAACATGCAATATCAGACACAGCACCAACAGACATAAAGCAATATCTCCAAAGCCTCATAGATGAGTTCAGGAATGAAGTTATTAACGACCTGAAGCAAGATATAAGTAGAATAGTTAGAGAAATGCTAAGCACCACCTAAGAAAAAACAGATGGTGGAATGGAAGAACAGAAAAAAAGGGGAGAATTGTTTGATGGGGAAAATAGAGAAAACATTGATTACGTGAAGCAGGTTCAAAGAGATTACCAGGAAACTAAAAACCCTATTGAAAACTGGCATAACACCTTGAAAGAAACTAAGGGTAGATTATCTGAACTGGAGGGCAGATTTGTAATATGGGAGCATGAAATGAAAAACTTCTTAAAAATAATAAAAAAACAAACAGCAACAATACAAAGGCTAGAAGATGATAAGAAGATCTATAACTTAAGAATTAAGAACATAAAAGAAGAAGTAGGGACACAAACAAATGAACTACAAAGGCTAGTCACAGAAATAATCCAAGAGAATTTCCCTAATTTAGCAAAAGGTAAAGATACTCAGATGTATGAGGCATACAGGACCCCAGCTACCTACAACCCAAACAGAGCTACACCCAGGCATATAATAATCAAAATTCCAGAAATACAATATAAGAACAGAATATTAAAAGCCATCAGAGACAAGAAACAGATCACTTACAAAGGAACACCCATCAGAATCACAGCAGACTTCTCTGCACAAACCATCAAATCACGAAGAGCATGGGGGGAATAATTCAAGCTTTGAAAGATAATAACCTCCAGCCAAGATTGATACATCCTGCACAACTGTCCCTAAAAATTGATGGAAAAACAAGGTGCTTCCAGGATAAAGAGGAACTAGGGGAATTTGCAACCACCAGTTCAACTCTATAGAGAGAATACTGCAGGATGTTCTAAAAAAGGAAAATACCAAGATTCCAGAAATAGTGGCAGAGAGGCCACAATGAATGGAGCAGAAAGCGAAATGCAGAAGACAAACTGACAAAACGACAGAAAAAGAGCTCAACAGAAATGAGGCAGAGAAGATCAGAAGGTAGGAACAGCTATTTTTGAGAAAACAAGACATCATAATAGCTAGTGCTGATTTAGTATCATCTTGTTTTGAAGTCCCATCAAACTTGTATTCTTCTGTCTCCATCGGTCTTAAAAGGTTGTATCTTATTGGATTTTATTATATACGATAATATAAGCAAAAACTTTTATAGACAAGGAGTTTATATAGAAACCATTGTTCATTTTCTGTTAATTGGTTCTAAATACTCTGTAATAATGTCATTATCTTGAATGGTTTTATAGTGTCTTGATATGTTTGGTGCTACAGTATACGAAGTTATATTCAAAGATTTCAGGAAATAGACACTGTGGTAACTATTTTTATGTCAGGATATCTTGTGGTGAAACACTATTTTGCTTGGTTATGTTTTGACCTGTGCTGGTTCTGTTGTTATGCCCTCTTTTATCTCAATTCCCCCCCCCCTTTTTTAAAATTATTTACTTTTTAATCTTTTTAATTAAGGGAAAAATAAATAAAAAATAGCAGGATACATTTTAGTAACCTACTTTGATTTCCTATTAACTTGATTTGAAATCCTGTATTGCTCTCACCATCTTGTTTTGACTGATTTTCCCCTATTCTGCTTTGCTTGATAGTACCAAGTTCCTGTGAAGGCAATAAGATTCATTATGATGCCCATTCCGGTTGACTATTATCTTCTTTTAAAGTCCTGTAATGTCTCCAATGCTTTGGTTTTATTCTTTACTGTTTTATTATAACTGGCAATTCTTCTTAAAATAGCAAGAGGCAGTATGGTGACCATTGTTGATCACCTTGTATTTTGTTTTTACATTATCTATTATGTCCATCCTTTTGATTTGACTGACTCTGTTCTGATATGTCACATTTGGTTTTACTCTCTTCAAAAAAAGTAATAAGAACTGTGGGAGTAATAAAACCCAAAATGTGTAATTGTCATTGTACAAAAGAAAAGAAAAGAAAGTGCTCTAAAAGTTATAACTGCATATATGTTTAAGTGTATAAGATAGATAACCATATTACTGAGTGTTTTTGGATCATTGAACTAAACTGTTTGCACTCTCACTGTTTGAAAGTCCACTTTATATGCTTTAATTTTGTAACTTGAACAACTATTTCTAAGATGAGAATATGTAATCCATTAACTAGTGATTTCTTACTGTTTTTTTTTTTCTTTTTTCCTTTTTATTGGTACCAGGGATCGAACTCATGACTGCCTGCTTGCAAGGCAGGCACTTATGCCGCTGAGCTAAGTCCCAGCCCCTTTACTGTCTATTTTTTAAACTTTGTATTACTTGTGCCCTTTTTCTGTTTTTTTCTTTTTCTCCTTGAATAAAAAAAAGACTAAATCAAAAATTATGATGATTTTTGAATATGATTTGATACCTATAAGATGCAGAGTGGTGCAGTTCATATTCAGTTGTATCAACTATTCCTGAGACAAATTTCCATCTACAAAAGTAAGACATTTTCCAACTGTGTGTTCAAGGGTACTTAAGTACATAAGTAAAATAGGAGTTGTCAGTAAAATAGAGTCACAATTCCAAAAAACAAAGTATGATAATCCCCAGGTCTCCCCCCTTGACTCAAAAACAAAACACTAAAATGGATTTGGCTGATAGGACAGCCAAATCAGAAAGCCCAGTTTAAACTGTGGACACTAAAAACAAGATCATCAAAAGCTCAATACCAGGGGCTGGGGATTTAGCTCAGCAGCATAAGCATCTGCCTTGCAAGCAGGCGGTCGTGAGTTTGATCCCTGGTACCGATAAAAATGAAAAAGACAAAAAAACAAAACAAAACAAAAGCTCAATACCATATCTCAGTTTGTTAAGGTTTCTGGTGAGCAGACACCAGAAAGTTTCTTAAAATCCCAGGACTAGATTCTATACCCAGAAAACCCTTTTGATTTCATGAGTGACTCTAAAGTGTTAGAGAACAGTCTAAATTTCTACTAAATCTTGCTTATCTCGTCTGAGGGATCTGACATCCGGGTCATCTTCTGCTGCAGTTTCTGTGACAGATAGGCCATGTGAGGTAGTTTTCCCATATTGCTCATGGACCATTCCCTGCTTCTTTGCAGTATTAATTCCTTCCTGATGGCACTGTGTTTTTGCTATGATTTCTTTATATTTATTTCCTTTTACATTTTTATAGACTGAATTATCAGTAAGTCAGTGCCCTTCAAGTAATATAGACTGCTCTAACGTCCAGCCAGTGATCTAGCTCCAGTAGATCCAGTTTGGAAATGCTTAGGGTGGATGATGAGGAAGTGTCAAACTTTTTTTGAGTCTATCATCTTGCCATTTTTTTGGCTCTGAAGCTACCAAAACTCTATAAGCATCTCTTACTACTTTATAGAGTCTATAAAGAGTCTTTTGTTTTTAAAACAAAATAAGCAAAACCAAATCTGGCTATAGTATTCTTTTAAATTGAGAGCTGGGAGCCTCAGTGTGATTATATTTTCTACTCTGTCTGCCTTCTTGTATTGGATCAGTAGAGAAAACTAAGTTAGGGCATGTAATTTCTCTCAAGGCATTATTTTAATATGTTCCATTAATAGTACATTTTATACAAACAAAGTTATATAGTTCTTCCATATAAAATATTGACTCAGAAGTACAGAGGGGCAATCCGGGTAACTGATGCAATAAGGCCAATGTAAATCCAAAAACCAATACAAAACAACAACAAATAAAACTATACACAAGCCAGGTCTTCAACATACCTATCCTTCAAATTACCTATGAGAAAAAATACAAAACAATACCAATGAGCTGTCCCACATCTTCTATAAGCCTTTGTGAACATGAAGCACAGGCTAGGAAACAGAAATGAAACACAGAGAAAAGGAGCCAGAATCAGATCTAACAAAACCTGATCTAAAACCACCACTAGAAAGGAAAGTCCATCCCATGAATGAAAACACTGAAAAGGCATAATGTAGACTGGACTACAGATTTAAGGGTACACATGATGCAAGGAGGCAAGCTTAAAAAGTTAATTCAAGGGAAAAGATTAAAAGGCAGAAAACGTTCATATTATTAGTAAAACAAATACATTATCTTTCAGAAATCTGCACAGATGCAAATGGTATTTCACAATGAAGTATTTTTAAACCACTGTACCTTACAGTAAAATCATAGGAGCAAGATGCCAGCACTGAAGCATGAAATGGAGAAAACTTTAAAAAAAAAAAAGAAACAAAAACAAAGTTAGCTACAATATGCATCCGATGAACAATATAATAAATTTAAGTTTATTAAGGAATGTCACTTAAAATTATGTTTTCTAGAACCTTATATGTTTTAGTTTGAGGCAAAAATCTTTTGGTCTTTTAAGTATCCACTTAGAGGAAAAATATTTTTACATCCTCCAAAGAAAACCATCCCTTGAGCTTTTTTTTTCTTTCTTTTTTTGGTCTTTTTCCTTTTTATCGGTACTGGGGATCAAACTCACTACTGCCTGCTTGCAAGACAGGTGCTCATGCTGCTGAGCTAAATCCCCAACCCCCCTGGAGCTTTTTAGAGCTCACTTAGAATAACTATTTTTAAAACACAGCTATTCTTGAAAAATTAAACACAACTTCTTTTTCTTTTTGTGAGGGGTACCAGGAATCAAACTCACAACCTCATGCTTGCCTGACAGGTACTGTGCCACTGAGCTACACCCTCAGCCCACAAATTCCAATTGGCTATCCGAACATGAGTCCACAAATAGGAAGGATCTGAATATGTGATAATATATACTTATACAATAATCATAGAATTTATCAATTCTATGAATATGTATCTTGAGTACTATAATCACATGCATCAAAATAAATGTAAATAATTTTTATGTTATCTGTATATTGTAGATAAAAACAAATATTATCAAGGACAAAAACTCCAAATTTAAAGCAAGTAACAACTTTAATGTAAGTAATGAACATACTATATAGACTCCCCTTTGAAATTATACTTGATTGTTTTTTTATCAGCACATTTTTTTCATGGTGCTGGGGTTTGAACTCAGGGCTTTGAGCATGCAAGGTAAGTATCACTAAAGTACATCAGCAGCCTACCAGCCCTTAACAGTGTGTGTGTGTGTGTGTGTATGTGTCTGTGTGTGTGTGTATGTGTCTGTGTGTGTGTATGGCACTTCGCAGCATGTATTTTCATTATATCACTCTATTTCATTCTCAAAACTACTCTAAAACATATATAGAAAATATTTTTTAATTACTAAAAACCTACACATGCAAGATTGCCATTAAAAAAATAAAGCAGTCTGGGGATATAACTCAATAGTAGAATCCTTGCCTAGCATGTGCAAGATTGTGGCTTCAGTCTCCAGCACTTGCTAGCTAAATAAATAAACAAATCAATAAATAACAAAATGGAATACTATGTCTCCTATATTGTCTTGCAGCCAATAAAATTTAAAATACTAATTTAATGGAAATTAGGAATTTTTAAAATAGGAATAACGTAATTATCTTGCTGAAACATCAGTAAGGTTCATTTTTGTCTTAAAAGTAAAAAAAAGAAAGTTAAGGGCATGGGGATTCAGCTCAGAGGCATAAGCACCTGCCTTGCAAGCAAGCGGTCGTGAGTTCGATCCCCGGTACCGATAAAAAAAGAAAGTTAAAATTGAGAAATTTGACTTAAAAAAATGTTTTCCATAATGACTTAGGAGAACCTGACTAAATAAAAGCTAGGAAACTAACTTAAGTCACTCTAAGACAAATTTCTTGAGAGTAGCACAGAAAAGTTACCCATTCTCTGCTGTTTACAGAGTGGATAATTTTCTATACTTGACACATTTGGGATCATTCATGTAAGTCATCATGTGAGAGAAAAGAAAGAATCATCTCTCTATACCAGTTTCAACATAGTAAAGAGACTTTCCACTGACAAAATTATAAAGGAATATGACACTAAAAGTAGACTACTCTAGTTAAAAAATAATGTTAAAAGAAATAGCAGACTGAAAATGACAGGATAAGAAAACTATTTTATTTAACCTAAGGTACTGGATGTCTAAAATGCCCCAATTCATTCAATAATTATTCAAATCTTTTATCTAACTTTAGTGTTTAATATTTGTTATTACTAATTAGGTAACAAATACACACACAAAGGCAATCAATAACCCTAAACCCTAAACATCAAAACACCCTTTTATATATGCTTCAATGGTAATATTCAAATTTCTATTTTTATGGTATAAACAAAAAGAAACAACAAAAACTTACTTTCACTCTCCTAATAGCATAGGAGTGACCAAGAAGTTCAAACACTGGCTGTCGTACATTCCTTAAGTCCCATCCTCTCAAACTGCAATCAACTGCTCCCGTCACCAGCAAATTCTGAAAACAATTCACAAGAACATTATGCTATGGTGTCTCTGCCACTAAGCAAAACTAAGCCTTTCCAACTAGAAATAACATTCTACTTTCTGGTAATGATTTGAGAAGTCATTCCTGAGAAGCTATATAACAAGTATAAAAAGGAATCAAAACAGATATTGAATAGTCAACTTAAGAGGAAAGAAACTCAACATGCTTTATAAGTACGATGGGATATCTAACAAAAGAAAAAGGATATAGCTCCAAATAGCACTGTGACTTTTTCAACTTAATTTTTTTATAAGTACATATGAAATTAAAATATATGACAAAAGGGCCAGCTTTCTCTTTAAAAGAATTTCAACATCCTCTGAGATCTTACGGGGCACCCAAAAGCAAGAGGCCTACTAATGTAAGACTATTTGAAAAAGTAAAATGTATACAATAAATTTTTGTATTTTTTCTCAATCATTGTTTCCAACTCTCTTGAGCCTAGTCTTAATACAATATTTGATCAGACCTGAGAATCTATGAAAATAATGGTGAGCTTATAGGTAACAGTCAGGCTTTACAAATTTTCTATCTGGAACCTGAGGCAAACTCAGAGTTCCTGGCTGAACAGGCCAGGCGTCGGGGCCACACTCACATCAACGTGAACCGCAATTCATTATCTGAATACGTTTCAATATAAGCCCACTGAAGGAAAAGTGTCAGTGAGTTAAAAGCAAAACTTTAAACCACAATCAAGTACATCACAGCATCTTTTTAGAATTCAAAGTATAAATATACAGGCCACAATTTAATTTTCCTATGGGGAAAACTCATTTGTGACAGAAGAAATTGAAAGCCATTTGCATTGATGTTTTTATTTAGCTCAAGTATTATTTCTGAATGTGGACTGGGGGCTGGGGATTTAGCTCAGTGGCATAAGCACCTGCCTTGCAAGCGGGCAATCGTGAGTTTGATCCCCGGTACCGATAAAAAGACCAAAAAAAAAAATATGGACTATATTTTATTTCTTTTTCTTTAAAGAATTCTGGCAATATAATATGAGTTTAACTTTCATTAATTATTTTTAAAAATACGAGGGAAAATATGGGGGAAAATTAAGGTATATGTTTTATCTATTTTTCACTTTTAAGAAACCACCCAAGTGAGGGTTAGGTATGTCAATATTTAATACCTACTTAATCCATCCCTATTTCTAATTCATATGTTTATATGGGTAACTGAAGCTTTGTAAAAAGTTACACGTAGACACTGTTAAATTATAGAAGCATGAAAATTAGTCTTAAAGAGGAAGATGAAACAAAATATTTTAAAACTGATAGACTGTCAAGTTAAAAGTCAAATTACAAAGAGTTCCACAGTCTGACTGGCAAAGTAAAAAAGTCATGAGAGCAAAAGATGACACAAAGTGGCAGGGTCAAGAATGATCAAGAAAAGATATTACATAAATTATAAAACGGTTCCCCAAAACAAACAAGAAAGGCTGCACTGCTGAACTTTTGAGAATTTCTGTTTCCTATTTTGCCTGTTTTATGAGCACTTAAATCCAATTAAGGCTAATGTAGGTCAGTCACAATCATTAGTTAGAAATGAAAGAGACTCAATTTAACTTAACAGGCCAGGAACAGCACCAAAGCCCACATAAACAAAGATAAATAAAATCTTGAGTATTTCAGCATCGCAAAGCAGCACAAATTGGGTCCACATATTGTACCTCATTGTATTTACACCAGTCACAACTCAAAATTTCTGCCTGATGTGCTGGAATCACAATTCTGACTCCTGCTGCCTTCATATCCCATATTCTCAGAGTCTGATCACCTAGGTAAAAAAAAGAAGATACGATCAGTTCCCAGGACACCACATGCTCAGTGACCTAATGAGCTCATAACAATAAACCAAGTAGAAATACTTTTGACATTAAGGATACTGCCACCTTTTATATACATGTATATGTGTGTACGCATAAATGGAAAAAGAGTCCACCAAAAAATTGTATACACACTTCAGCAGTTGGCTGTACTAACAAATGTCTGGAAGCTCGTGGCTGTTACTCTAAGCATCTCTTGTAATTGTAGAGGTAACTTGTATAAATCTGAAGATGTCTCAATAAATTTAGTGTTAAAATATTTATACAAGTTCTTCCTTCCTGATATATACATTTTTTTGTTGAACTCTGTCAATGTGCGGCACACACATATTTTTAAACCCTAATGATTTTTAAGAACTCTTATAAATGAAGGACTGTCAGTGGTGGTGCCCACCTATAATCCCAACTACTCAGGAGGGTGAACCGGTATATTCAGAAGTCACTCCTGTCTCCCCTAATAATAACATGACTAATAGCTAATATTTATTGAATACTTCTGATGTGTTAGGCACTGTTTTAAGAGTTTTATAACATTGGTTTTTTATAAAATATGACACTAATCATATGAAACAGTACTAATTGCTGTATCACTTGATAAATGAGGAAATTGAGGCATATGGGAATAAAGTAATAGGACATTAAACAATGGAACCAGGACCCAGAACCAGAACCCACATAGTCTGGGTTCCCAGCACAAGTACTTTACAAATGCATCATGCTGTCTTCTGTGTTGTCAGGGGCCAAATGCTAGTCAATGCTTGCTGATTCTTGAGAATTTATTCGTTTTTCTATGTTACATTTTTATAATTAGAATGAAAACATATTTTTCTCTCTCACCTAAAATCAGAGAATACCTACTCAGATTTTGCCAGCATTATTTTAGAAATAAAAACTCACTAACTATGACAAAGTTAAAATTTCTATTGTATTTCCAACCCCACTTCTCCCCCGACTCCCTGCTTAGAGGCCATCACAATCATGAATTTGGCATGCATTGCTTTAGTCTGTGTTTTTATAACACAGTACTTCTGCTATACTTTTATGGATCACAAACATGTACTATTGCTTTGTGTGAGGTATGTTTCTTTTTTAATTTAAAACACTACCCTGGTACTTTATAAAAGGCTGAAAAACACTTTGATAGATGAAAGTAACTAACGTTTTTGGATCTAAGGACAGAAGGGATGAAAGCAACAATGAGCCTGAATGTACCAAATGGAAATAGTTCTGAATTGGTACAGACTGGAGAGTCAAATATCTTCAGGGGCCCTAAAAACATTTACTGTCTCCAGGTAGCCACCGGTCAGCTGAACTGGTTTCAGAATGCCAAGCAGCTTTGATGAAGTGATCTTTCATGACTTTCCCTAGACCTCAGTGTCTACAGCAAGGCAACATGGCTGACTTATGGCTCATGTACCCAGCAATGCCTTCTTCTAGGACCAGCAAGTGTTCTCCTTACCAACAGATTCAAAACAGACCCATGGCTCATCACAGGCTCCAACCACAGCCAAGAGGTCCAAAGGTGGCTATCTGGGATTTTTCAAAACCACAACTGAAAAAATGTCAATTTGTCTCATACAGAATTTACTAGTATAACACCCAGGAGCCCCTGGTGGCCATGTGTCCACAGTATGGAGAAAACTAGTCTGCGGAGTCAAGTCACCAGCCAGGGACAAGTCCAGATGAGGGACACAGAATGTGGTTCAAGGAACCTCAAGCACCCCTTCTTTTTTCCACAGTACACTTTTCATGTCACAATTTAGTTCTATCACTTGCAGGCAAAGGAGATACTTATTCTTACAGATTTTCCCCAATTTTCCATCTCTAAAAAGGGCCAAGCCCCAAAGAAACCCATTTGACTCAGCACGAGACTTTCATTAAAGCAAATGAAACACCAAAGGGATGCTCAGAAGCTAAAAACTGGTATCTAACACTAGGTCTGAAATAGTGAAGTCTGCTGTAGTTATGATTAAAGAACACTGTTGCATGTCAATAAACTTCACCTCATAATTACCTCATTTACGTATGTAAATCAATATAAAGCATCAACAAGTTACAGTGAGTGTGGACTAGGAGATTAAGAAGGTTATTTTAGCACTAATACAGATGAATCACAAAATATAGTGTTGAGCAAAAGAAAGCAGACACAAAGTATAACATAGCAATAGCAATCTATGCTATTAGAAAGGAGACATAGTCATGGCAGGGTAATAACTTGAAAAACAAAAGCAGGTCATGTGGTACAATTTCATGTCTTGACCCTATTCTGGTTATACAGATGTTCTTATTGTGGAAATTCATCAAGCTGCACAGATAAGGATACACATCATTTTGTGTACATATAAAGGATTAAGCAATACAACAGAGATCTGGTGGGTGGATATTCTATTTCTCTGACAATAATATTTTGGTTCTGCAATACTGCACTAAAACAACAAAATTTTAAAACCCATAGCTTTAACTGTTCTCTCCTGCAATTAATCTGAGTGACACAAAAATGTGAAGACTATTCTGCAGAAACTATGAATTCCAGTTCTTTGATAATCATTTCTATGGACATATTTGACACTGTGTCCTCATCATTCTGGTTCCCAGGTAAGAGACAAATCTTTTAGCCAAATGGTACAATGACTCACTCAACTCTCTCAGGCATTAGGGTATCTGTATTTATGTTTTTATTCCCTCTAAATCACATCTTCTAAATAACTGGCCTTTGATTGTCAGCCAGACATTTATCAGGGCCCTCTGATGGTACCACAGGCCCACCTGAATTACCAGCTTTTCTTATCAGCGGCAGACCTGCAACTGGCAGAACCAGCAGAATAGGAAGTTCTGGCTGTTGTTATATCTGATTTCAAACTGCAGCAAGAGGAAGCTGGGTAAGAACAATGAGTATAAACAGCCTAAAACTGTGAAGTGAACTGCACGCCAAGAGGGCACTTCTGGGCCTAAATAATTTAATTGAAATGCCAGATGCCTATCAGATGTAATATGACTTTTTCTTACACCACAGTAGAATGAGGTTTGTTTTAACTAGTGGCTGGACCCCACACATTCATGCATGGCTATGACTTATGCAATTATATGGAGTCTGTAATAGCAGTAATTTAGTTTCCATGGTTCAAAAGAAAGTTTATTTCATAGTAATCTTCTTTATATAAAATACTTGAATATGAATTTAGAAACAAATTCTGTACTAGTACATCTATGGGAAACTAGAAAAAACATAATGTCCTCAAAACCTCTGCTAGAGAAAGGATACCTAGTTCTATGTAGAAAGTCCTCCCTTTTTGGTTCTAACTTAACTACTAGTAAGAAGTTTTATTCTAGATTTGCAAATATAATACTATATAACCTTGAAAGTGACTAAATTCTTGGAGTACCCTAAATGGTATATTATCATATACATATGGTCTTAAAATATAAGTTGTTACAAAAAGTTATATAATTAGCCAGGCATGGCGGCATATGCCTGAAATCCCAGCACTCAGGAGGCTGAGGCAGGAGGATCACTGAGAGTTCGAGACCAGCCTGGGCTACAAAGTGAGGTCAGGGTGAGTCTAAACTACATAGTAAGACCCTGTCTCAGAAAGACCAAAAAAAATTAAGTTATATAATTAATTACATGTGTGTCACAGGGTTAGACATAAAAATACATATTGATTCTCCATCATAAAAGTTACCATCAAAACCAAACACTTTAAAACCTTGGGTTCCATAACCATAAGTTTTGCAGTTGAGATTATTTTTATGTAAAATCATAGTATGTTTTATAGCAAGTCCTTGTTTGTAAGCAAGAAGACAAAGCAAGACAATTATTTTTAAAGACTAATATTAATTCACAAAATAGAAAAACACTGAAGAGTGCTCAACTAGGAAATCACTTCTTCTCTGAATTTAACAATGAAATCCCTTGGGGTTTTATAAAACAGGGATGAATATATCCCAACCAAAATAAACATCAGCTGAAATAAACTATTAATTTGTAATCTCAACCAGACCTATTCCACAGACTAGTGCAGGGCATCTCAACTATGACTGATACCTGACTCAGCTGCACTTTACAAACACACTTCCCCAGAGGCGTTCTAATTCAGCAAGACAATGAGGGAGCCCAAGGGCTGGGGATTTAGCTCAGCAGCATAAGCAGCTACCTTGCAGCAGGCAGTTGTGAGTTTGATCCGTGGTACCGATTTAAAAAAAAAAAAAAACCACTGGGATAGAATGATGGAGCCTAGAGTTCTGTTGCTGCTTAAGTTCCACCAATGACTCTGATGATTAACAGGTTTTAGAATCACTGGACCAGTATGCAACTGCACAAGTGCATTCCAGATTCTGTTTAAAGCAAGCTACTTTAAACCTTGTTCTCCGACTTGGCTATTAGATCAGCACTAGGCATTCTTGTAGCACATATGCAATGCAAAGGCCATCCTGAAGTGCCTCAGATATGTCTGTCTCTCCACATCCTATACCTTTGCCTTCTACCTCTCATCTCCTAACTCTTACTTGTTCAGAAATCGGCAGCTTATATACTATTTCTTCAGGGAAGTGTCCCTGGTCAGCCAGCCTTGACAAGCTCAGGAATCATTGATTTGTTTCCACAAATTAATGTTTTGTGGAATTCTGAGCACAAAGAATTCTGAGCACTCATGTTATAAAAAAAAAAAAAGATGACATTTCCCAAGCTTACTCTGTGTCACAGTGTCCCATGTACATTAACTCAATTGTAATCAGAACTCCATGATGTGCATATGATTATCACCCTTATATCAGAAATAATGGAGGGACAGAGGTTAAGGCAAGTCACACAGCAGTGGAGACAGGAGAACTAGATGTGAGGTGGCCCAGCTCCAGACTCCACGCTCTTAACTACTGTAGTATCTCTCCTTCAAAGAACTGTGCCCTTCTGGCATTATCTGACTGTCGCTTTCTCCCTGGATTCTACACACTAGGGGAGCAGAACTGTTTTCTTCCTCACTGAATAACCAGTCCCCAGCAAATGATGAGCACTTACCTGACAAACTGATAATGCCCCTCTCAACAGACATAACGAACTGAGATATGCTTTCAATATTCTGATAAGACAGTTACACCCACATTTTGTGTAATAACAAAACTATTTTAACATTTGGCTGTGAAATGTATTGAGCTATCTAAAATAATATATGAAAACAAGGCAAACAGAAAATCTACTAGATTGTTTCCTACTAATGGATTACATAGCTTAGTAAACAATGTTCTTGATTCCTTGGAAACAGCTAAAGTACAATACAAGTTTCAGAGCTTACTTTTTACTCTACCACAACTATTTCAATATTTTTGCAGAAGGGCTGGATAGTTCAGCAGCATAGCACCTGCCTGGGAAGTGCAAGGTCTGAGTTTGATACCCAAAAGAAAAAAAAAGATATACAAATGTTTGATAAATTGTCTAATAGATTTTCAAAAACTCTCAATGGCTTTACTGTGTCCAATTTCATAAGAAAAGTTTTTCAAAGCTTTCTTGTTTTGCTTAAGGAACATATTTCACAGCTTATAATTCCAGTGATTGATCTGATTCACCAAATTCCTGATTTACTTTAAGCCTTAAATGGTGTAGCCAACTTAAGGAGTACCAGCCTTCTAGAATCTATTCATCTACTTCTACCTTATCAGGACCCACTCTTTCCATCTTCAGCTCATACAGTTGGGATAAAGCCTTCTCTCATTTTCCATTCCTAACTGCAGCAGCTAACTTAGGCCTAAGTCAATCAAAACATTAGATCCCTTTTCCCCAGGCACTATAATTAGCTCGGGATCACTCACATGGATTCAGCAGACCCAGTGAGAGTAAATAAAGCTTCTGTGGAAGTTTAAGAGGGAATCTCTTGGCTTTTCCTACCGCACAGAAACTAGTAAGTAAGTAGGGATATAGCTACTGCCATCTTGCCATCACATGGTACCTGATACGGAAACCAACACATCAGGAGGCAGAGCCCTACATCCAGCTATGCCTCTGAAGCCAGATCTAATTCTAGACTTTCAAATATATGGGAAAATAAAGGGACATTCTTTAATGCACTTTAGTTCAGCTTTTTTTACTCTTAAAATAATCACTATTTATATTTATAGCATAACACATGAAAGTAACATAATTCAACATATGATTGCTTTTGTGAAAGCAAATGGTCATTATGTTGATAAAAGAATTTTTATATACTACCCATGCACACTATAAAGACAGTCTAAAATGTTAAGTGCTATAACTACACTGCTAACTCTATAGTTAATCTTTTACTACCCAGTCTTATACACAGAATATTCCACATGCATTATCCAGGGTCAATATTATACATACAGTACCGCACAAAGGCCAGCATAAAAGGAAGAGGTACGTGTGACTCAGACCAAATAAAAGGCTCATACACATAATTCTGTCTGTTGTTTAAATAAATGCAGCTGCGTTTATTCATAATTCTTTCACTAGATTTTATATTTGGTTGTAGGCATAAAAAGCACAATGATTAAAAACAAGTGAAGATGGGGTAAGAGTATATCTTAGGGATAGAATGAGTGCTTAGCAGGCAAAAGGTCTTGGACTCAACTCCCAGCAGCTCCCCAAAGAAATGAAAGAATTTTACAGCTTAAATTATTTAAGTTATAATAAAAACAAACTTACATACAATAGTAAAGTGAAAGAATATTTAATAATCTTATCAGTAGTTCAAGGCATTTTACTTACCTATACTTTTCCAAATATGTAAAATTATACTTATTATTAAATTTAATTCACTGTGAGTTCTGCCCTTTAGAGCAGTCAGGAGACATGCCTTCACTGTTTCACTGGAAGAAAAGCATGTTTCCGGAAGCATATTTGGAAGGTGTAAATATTCTAAGCACTAATTTCATGTAGGGTCTTAAGTGATCCATTGAAACTACAGTAAAGGACATTCCTCCCTCTAAGAAAATTTTCTTTATGTCTATTTTATTTCCTTACAAAAATTTTCCTTCTATATCATTCAACAATGGTAAAAATATAAAGTGGTAAAATTGTAACTATGAAACTCACAATTTAATTTTTCATTACATTAAAAGTAGAAAAGTTAACTGGGCATGGTGGCGATGGTCTATAATCCCAGCACTTGGGAGACTGAGGCAGAAAGACAGCTTCAAGTTCGAGGCCAGCCTGGGCTACAAAGTGGGTTCAAGGCCAATCTGAACCATATAGTGAAATCTTGCCTCAAAAAAAAAAAGCAATAAAGTTGATTAACTCAAGTTATTTATACAGGTTAAAGGGTACATTAATTCAAATTAAGTATATTAACATTACTATCAATTACTTACTATACACTCAGTCTTGTGATTAGCTGGATAACAGAAAGATAAAAGATCACAATAAAAATTCATCCTTAGAAAAGGAAATGTTACTACAAAAAATTTTAACTGGCAAAAAAAGGACAGTATGATTTAATTCAGATTACAGACAAAAAAGCTAAGACTTAAATAACTTAGAATTTAAAAAATAGTAATATTAGTTTTCTAGAAATAATTATTATTACAGAACAAAATATTTCTTAAATTATCTATGCCTCCAAAGATATCAATATTCACTATAAGGATCTCATAAAATTCCACAATCTAAATGGATATATCTTTATACAATTTACCTGAAAACTTCCATTTGAGTATCTTCAGCCAAACAAATAATACTTGCAGAATTCAGGTAAATTTGGTTATTCTTGATTTTTTAGAATGAATATGAGAAAATAAGAGTACTGAAAAGGAGTCTGTGACTGTACATTTGCTGTGGAAATCATTCAGCACAAGTCAACAAGTCACAGTATTGACACAATTTGTTAGCAACAAAAGAACACTTATCCTACCTATTACCCCTCTTTGAATGCTAGATAATTAAATGAGAACATCATACCAGACCCACACTACCTCCTCCTGTAGCCATGGTCTTTTCTCTTCTCTTAAATAAGTAACTGTGTAAAAGAGTTTCCAATTCTTTATCTCCTTTTATGGTTCTCTAACAGGGGTCAGTAACACAGTTTCTACAAAGGACTAGAAAAGATATTTTTGATTTTGAGAGCCATCAGTTCTCTGTAACAGCTACTGAATTAGGCACTGCCCTGTTAAAAGCAGCCATAAAAAATATGAAAGTGAACAGACATGGTTATTTATAGAAGTTGTCAATCCATTTAATCTAAGGGCATCAGTTTGCCCACCTTTACTCTATTCTAAAGTTTTGAATTCTCCCTACACATCCACAGTAGCTGTCTATCATCTCTCTTCTCCCCCTTCACCCACCTTCAAATACACTTTTATTTAACAAATAAACAAAAATAAAGTTTCTTCTATTTAGCTTGTCCTCTGATTTGCTCTAAGTGCTCTGATTTGCTGTGATGGCTTTAGCCAGTGACACAGTATTTGTTCACAAGGTCATACTTCTCAGTTCCAGGCTCAATCTGCCCACTGAGAAGCACACATGTGTGGCTCACAGTTTAAGAGTTTTCTAAAACAAAAAGATTTTTTTTCTCAGTTATGATATTACCATCCATAGATTTGTCCTTACCAAGAAACAAGGAGTTATTCTTTAGGGGTCAGAATCATTGAAAAAAAGTAATCTAGGCTTCAGCTAATTCTTGTCAAGAAGTAGGTAAGAAGAGGTCTTAGGAACACAAAAGCCTAGTAACACACTCCAACTTTCTCTGAATCTAGGGTACACAGTGCCACCTAATGGAAGAAACAAAGCCACTCTTCAATATTTTTGGTAATTTCAGAATTATTTACCTGAGGCTGAAGCAAAACAACCAGGGATATGGGGAGACCAGATTGTGCTATAAATGACACTCTCGTGGCCTCTAAAGGTGCACAGAGACTGTCCAACAGTTGGATCCCACTACAAATAAATGAACAGATCAGTTACCAGAGGTAAATTCAAGTATGTGCTTTTATATATACTATTAAAGATTATATATATATATTTACATATAGATATACCTATACTAAATAGACATACTTTTAGGACTTTTTTTAAAATTTTATTTAAAGAAAGACTAAACAAAACAGAAAATGGGTAGAAATAACACATACTGTCAAAGAAAAAAATAAACAGTAATAAATCACTAGTTGATGATTACAGATTGTTCTCTTACAAATAGTTATTCAAGATACTAAAGTAGAGCATATAAAGTGGGGATTCAAACAGTGAGACTGCAACCAGTTCTGTTCAGCTATCCAACAAAAACTTAGAAGTATGGTTATCAATCCTATGCAGTTATCCAAATCTTCAATTATGTTGAGATTGAACAAACCCAAGCAGGCTAGTATCACTCTGAACAAAGAATAATACTATTGCTGGGTTTCACATTATGACACTCCAGGATCAGCACTGGGTACTTTAGTGTCTTTTTCTTCAAAGTATCTGTTCATTTCATCATGTGTCATAAGATCAGTTCTCATAAACTGTTTATAGATTCTACACATACATGAGTTTTAACATGTATTTCTATCCTTCCTGTATTAGAGGGAGAAACAAAACAAAGCAAGACAAAACAAAACATATTCCTATAAACACATGAAATGAAAAAGACATATAAGACCGTTGTACAAGGAGTTCTACCATAGTTCCTGTGTTGTCTCTTGTTATCTTCAATAGAATTGGCTATATCATCAGACACAGTATAAGTGAATATATCAGTACATAACAGTATTAATAAAAACACAACTTTGTATATAGTATAAAACTTCAAGAACAGGCAGTTATCAAACCAGAATGTGTATCATAGAGTCTTGTCATCTTTAGTGTAGTTGCCTATACTCTCAGACTTGATACTATCATTCGTATCAGTTTTGAATAAAATCTGTTGATACCAAACAACAATCAAACAAACCAGATTTTACTAAGATCAGTCATGACAAAACAGTATAAGTCATACTGGGCTTCAGATTAAGATAATAGGAAATTAAAGATGATTACAGTGCTATATCCTGATGTTTTTGGGATAGCTATCTGTGCACTCAAATCTAATGCAAGTAGACAAACTGGGACAGAATAAAATCTATCTAAGCAGAGTAGTGCAAGTAATGTGGGTTTTAAATCCTGATACACTATTAACAATATCTTCTGCCATCTTTTTTAAGACTCCCCCTCCCCTTTCACTTCCCCAGGGTACACTGTGCATTTTTGGGTCTGACTAAGACCCTTGGTTTTAAATTGGGGGAAGGGGGCACCCTGGTATTTACCTAAGTGGTTCCAAACCTTCTCTCTCCTGGACTTGATCTCTAATTATATCCCTTTACCTATTAAAGCCTATCTTTCCAACCTATCCACAAATACTGGTCTAGTTGCCCCTATTATTCTCTGGTTCCCTGACACATAGAGCATTGTTTTCTCATATTTGATTTTCAGTCCATGTACTCTTTTTCATTGTTAATTATATTTCCTATAAATAGCATCTCGTGGACCCTAACTCCTGATATACTTCTACATGTGGTTCTTTTTTTTTTAAATTTGGTGTATCAAGGCCATCTATATTAGGGATTATAACCAACCTTCTCTGCCTCATTTCTATTATGCTCTTTTTTTACCATCAGCTGTCTGCTTATCTTCTTCATTCTGTTTTCTGCTCCACTCATTAAGGCCTCTCTGCCACTGTTCCTGGAATCTTAGTATTTTTCTCTCTCTCTAGAATGCCCTGCAGTATTCTCTGTAGAGTTGGATTGATGGTTGCGAATTTCCCAAGTTCCTCTTTGTCTTGGAAGCATCTTGTTTCTCCACTGATTTCTAGAGATAGTTTAGCAGGGTATAGTAATCTGGGCTGGAGGTTATTTTCTTTCAGGGCTTAGAATATTTAGCTCCAGGTTCTTTTTGACTTGATGGTTTGTGTTGAGAAATCTGCCATTATTCTGATGGGCCTTCCTTTATAGGTTATCTGTTTCTTGTCTCCAACAGATTTTAATATTTTGTTCTTATACTGAATTTCTTAGATCTTGATTATTATATGCCTGGGTGTAGCTCTCTTTTGGTTGTAGGTGGCTGGATACCTGCCACCTGTATACCTCATATATCTGAATATCATTTCCTTTTCCTCTGTTTGGGAAGTTTTCCTTAATTATTTATGTGAATAGCTTTTGTAGTTCTTTGTTTGTACACCTGCTTCTTCACATTCTTTATTCTCAAGTTGTTGTCTTCTAGCCTTTGTATTGTTACTGCTTGTTTCCTTGTTACCTTTAAAATGTTTTCCCTTTCATAATCCCACACTGCAAAACTGTCCTCCAATTTGGATAATCAATCCTTAGTTTCTTTCAAGCAGATCGGCCATCTTTCCATAGAGTTTTTAATTTCCTGGTAATCTCTTTGAATCTGCTTCATGTCTTCTATATTTTCTTTATTTTCTTCATCAAATGGTTCTCTCCTTTGTTTGAGTTCCGCCCTTCTTCCATCTGTGTCTTCTTGAGGGGTACTTAGCATCTCTTTTATTAATCTCCTTATATCTTGTTTTACTTGGCTAAATATTTCCCTTTTGAAGTTATCTATGAGGTTCCAAAGATATCTCTTTATGTCCACTGGTGCTATGTCTGATACTGCATGTTTGCTGTTCTCATTCTCCTTTGTATTTACCCATCCTGGGTCAAGGTTCTCAGGGTTGGGATCTGGGGACTTTTTCTTGTTGCTTCTTCTTCCCATCTTTTTGTTTCTTCCATGAGGCCCCAGTTTCTTTCTTTGTTGGTTACAATTCTTCTGAAGCATGCTGGCTAGGTGACCCTTCCCACTGCTGTGTGCTAGTGAGTTGCAAACAGGGCAGCGCATGCTGGCCCCTCCCCTCCGGATCAGTCACGCTGCTGTGGCCTGCACTGTCAGTCAAACTTCTGAGGTTTCACTGGATTAGTGAGGTTAGTGTGCACCACCGCTGTAGGGACTTGATTTCGGATAAGCTATTGGGCCTCAGCCAGATCGCATGACCCAGGCCTAGCTCACTCTACCAATCCCATTCGGAAAGGGAAAAACTGACTGAAGTTATTGCTGCCCTTTGTACTTGCCAGTCCTGCCTAGTCCCAGAATGTCGTCAGCCGGAGCCCCCCTTTCTGCGGAATGGCTCCACTCCTGTCACTAACAGCTCAGCTCTTGGTTTGGCTGGCTGACCCCTGACCTCAGTGTGACTGCGCCTCCAGTGAGTTGAAGTGGTGGGACCTCAGATGGCTCGGCAAGTCACCGGCTGCCATGGGAGCACTGAACCTTTAGCTGTTTCAATAACAGCACTGGGACTGTATGTTTGATTGGTTCTTCTCACCTTAATTTCTTCTTGGGATGAGAGAATTCATTTCCCTGTTTGGGGCTCCCCACACTGTATTATGTTGAATTCTAAGTTGACTATCTCTGGGAGTCTCTGTAGCCAGCTGTTATCTATCAGCCATCTTTGCGCAAATCTTAGGACTTATTTTTAAATAAAGCAAGGTGGTACTTAAGGGACCAAAGCAATCAATACTAAGCTAATTTTTAGTTCACAGCCCCAAAACTAGAAAATGGTAAATTCTAATTAATGTTTTCATATATTATCTGGAGAAATTAACCATTCAGTTTTAAAGCTACGGAAAGGTACTCTGGAAAAGAAAAAAAACTCAGTAGAAGCTCTGAGGAAAAGAATATTCATTTTCAAATTACAGTAATGCTGACATACCACTTTGACAGTCTGATCCCATGAGCCAGACACCACAAGTTGTTCACCTCTGGTTTGGCTCCAATCAACACTATATACCTAAAAACATTTTAAAGGATTTAGAAAGCAAAATAGCATCAAGTTCAACATTACATTTCATCTCTTTATAACAGTGACAGCCTGCTAGAACAACTAATTTGCTTCATGGAAACATCAAATAAAATCCTAACCATCTCAACATTCTGTCTGAGAAATGGAAAGGTGATCTTGTCCATGCCTACTCCACGTAGATAAGACTCCATCTGATTTAATATAGTTCTATAGATTATTTTCAAACCTTCTTCACTAAAACAAATTATACCTGTTTTTAAACCTATTACAAAATCACTATTTAAAACACTGTGATGAAATGTCAAAGCAGATTTAAAAAGTCACTATCCATAAAAACCTAGCCTTATCAATGTTTATCAGAAAGCACTGATATTCAATTAATATCCCTCTCTAACCTTTCTTAGCAAAACTTTACAGGAAACAGAGGATCCTTTCAGATATCGTAATAGTCAACTTTAGTTATCTAATGCTGCTATTCCAATATATGCTTTGCTATTCTCAGTAAATCATTTCAAATGAGCTATTTGAAACTTATGGTAATATTTTTAATTCTGACATTTTACAACACATTATACATAGACCATTACTATAAGTTACACAATGTGATTGAAACATAAGGTGATTATTTAAATTTTGTTTTCTAACTTTTGTTATACTACAAGACTCCTCCCTCTTAAAATATTCGCCTGACTTTGAACACATTTAGCACTGTGCTCACCAAGTTCTGCAACAGTTCTGGAAGTCTTCTGTCATGTCTTTAGTCACACTGTCACGGCTGTCCAGATATCCTGAATCACTTTAAAACATTTACCGTTCATGGTCATTTTGACTTTGGGGAAGTCAGAAGTCCTATGACACCACATCCATTTGGTAAAGTTGATGAGGACACACTGTAATGTTTTTATGAGCCTGCCTTTCTATTGGACAGCACTCAGCAGCAGCATTCAATGTGTTTTTGACCACACCTCATAAAAACATTCATGAAAGCAGATTTACATAGCTGTTTCAGAAAGTGGCGAGTAGCCAGGCATGGTAACACATGTCTCTAATCCCAGAACTTGAGAGGTTGAGGCTAAAGGACTGCTGTGAATCTCAGGGCATCCTGGATTACAGAATGAGACCCTGCGAAAGTAGCAAGAACTATGGAAAAGTATGTTTAAAGTGGGAATAAGATATTGAGGGGATTAATGACAATGGGTCCTTAACTGTGTAGTACACTCCTTTAATTTAAACAGTCACCACATTTATATTCTGTCACCCATATGTGTATAAATATACTTTATAGAACAATCCTGACATAAACCTGAGTAGATGTTATTAAATGTGGCCAGTCAGCGGGTTATTTTGAATCATGCTTATAATCCCAGCACTTTGGGAGACTAAGAAAGAAGGATCACAAGTTCAAGCCCTGCCTCAGTATCCTAGCAAGACTCTGTCTCAAAACTAAATATTTTAAAAAGAGCTGAGGATATAGCTCACTACCAAGGCTCTGTATTTAATACCTAGTATTGCAAACAAAAACAAAAACAAAAAAACTCTAGCCTCACATACGTGCAAGAGTATAGGTGTGGGTTTACTATGGCTTAACTAAGGATTACTTGCTCGCTGCTACCCAGTGCTATGCTGAGCCAGGCTACAGTCCAAGAGAAAAATCAGAATACTGATGCTGTATTTATTTAAAATTCTGATGTTCTGTCACTTGAGTGTCAAATCTAAAAAAGTCAAACTTAGAGAAACTGCACAGAAGGGTAACTGTCAGGAGCTTGCAGTGGGAGGAGAGCGAGATGATGGCCATGAGGACAAATTTTCAGTTAAGAGTCCTAGTATAGCATGATAACCATAGTTACTGACTATGCAGGGAATAGTTGAAATTTTCTGAGAGTTGATCTTAAATGTTCTCACCACACACATACACAAATGGTACCTATGTCTGGTGATGAATAAATTAATTAATTTAATTATGGGAAACACTACTCAAGGTATACTTACATCAAGAAACTACACTGTCCACTTTACATAAAATTTTAACCAGTTAATTATAATTCAATAAAGCTAGAATTTTTTAAAAATACAATTATTCAATTTTCCAGAAAAAAAAAAGAAAAAGGAAATTTTACATCTTGGTCACCATAGATCTTTTATACTGTTACTTTAAAAATATTGCATTTACAAACTTTTCTTGATTACAAAATGGGGAGAGAGACTTAAGTTTTTGTAGCCAAGTGAATGTCTCACACACTCCAACCTTGTCCTAGTCCTCCTGCTGCCCTCTTCATGTGTGACAGAAGAGTGGCTAGAATCACGAAGGAATCACAACCTAGCCATCAGCAGAGAGCAGATCAGGAAGTAAACAGAAGGGGGAAAAACTGCTGCACACCCTGTTAGTTAGAAATGGAAAAAACAAGGCCGGGGTTTGGCTCAGCAGCACAATTGCCATATCTGGCAAGTGTGAGGCTGTGAGTTAGATCTCCAATACCAAAAAAAAAAAAAAAAAAAAAAAAAAAAAAGACAATGGCAGTATAGGCCAAGGATTTAGCTAAGTGCTATAAGTGCCTGCCTTGCAAGTGCACAGTCATAAGTTTGATCCTCAGTACAAAAAATAATAATAATAAAAAGAATGGAAAAAAACATAAGTTTTAGAAGCAATCACTGAAGATCTTGAGAGCTAAGGAATTGGACTTTATTCTCTTAGCCTCTAAATTTCTTCCACAAAGGCCTTATACTAAATGGTAAATTTTTTCTACAAAGGGTCACATGGTAAGTATTTTAGACTTTCTAGACCAACAAACATTGTCACAACTACTAAACTCAACACTTGTAACACATAAAAGCAGGCTTAGCCAGTGGGCACAGTTGTGTTCCAACAAAACTTTACCTACAAATCAAACACTGTGCCAGGTTTGCACTGGCCCACAAGACAGAGTTTGTCAACTCCTGCTCTAGGTTGCCAACTCCAGCTCTCAGCTGATACAAATAGTCAAAAGTAACAATAACATACTTTAGTAACCACAAAACTTTATTAATATTCAAGAGGCTGAGACATGAGAATTACAGGGTTGAAGCCAGTGAGAAGTTAGTGAGAAGCTGCCTCAAAATAAAAATAAAAATAAAAGGCCCTGGGGATGTAGCTTAGTGCTCTCTGGGTTCAATGCTCAGTACTGAAAACAGAAAAAAAAATCTTTATTGAACATTGTGTGTCAGATGTTCTCATCAAAACTTAACATATTTTATCTCATGTAATGTTTATTTCTATGATGTAAATACTACCATAGCAAGGCCCAGATAGCCTAAGTACTTATCCAAGTTTCCAAGGCTAATTAGGTGCAGAGCTGAAATCTGAACCTACACAGCCTAATTGCAGAGCCTACTCTTAATTGCCATGCCAGACTGTCTGGTAGACAGCAAGCTGCTTGAAGGCACTGTCAAGTCAGAGCTTCTAGGTCTCATGGGACTCTTAATATCAGAGACAGAAAGCCCTGACCTTGCTGGCATTACCCTTCACTAGAGATACACTGACCTACACTAATTCCACTTTCATGAATTATCCATAGCCAAGAGCACAAAGTCCCTGTCCACTCATAAATCCCCACTTACCCTTCAAGATTCGTCCCCAGTACAGCCTTTATGAACTAAGCCTCCCCTGGTGAGCACCTGAGTCAGTCAAATGGTCCCTTCCGTGCTTCCATGTCAGCCCACAACTACTTCTAATCCAGAATTCACATATTTTACTAAAGGTAATGTTAAATAACTGCATACTCACTAAGTATTGGAGACCACCCCCCGCAAGAGCAAAAGCATTGAGTTTAAACTACATGTAGGCTCATCACTATGAAAACAGGCACTCAATGATTGTTGGCTAAAATATTGTAACCAATGAAAGTTACCTCACAATCCGCATCATTGTGAAGTACTACTAACTAAAGATTTAACTCTTCAAGCTTAGATTCTGCGGCCACTGAATACTTCCACTGTGATGCCAGAGTGGAACCTGACTGCTCATCTCAACACTGCAGGGCCTCCATCAGCTTTAAGAACCCAGCCACCAGAGAACAAATGTGAGGTAAGAAAACTTGGCTGATGGTTGTTAGCTGCTATATTGTCTGTCATGCAACAAAGCAGTAAGCATTAAGTCCCTACAATAAAGCTAAAAATAGGACAGTCACAGTGATGAGGTTTAAAAATGGGATAATAAGGAAACAAGAGACAACTTGTGCTTAAAATGTGCTTAAAATATTATGATATTTTTAATCAAAGAACAACTATCGGGCTGGGGTTTAGCTCAGCAGCATAAGCATCTGCCTAGGAAGCACAAGGTCGTGAGTTCGATCTCCAGCAACCTCCACCACCAAAGAAAAAAACAACTATAGACATAAGTGCAACAGAGGTGCAGTGATGGACAATTCAGGTTGATACCCAGAAGAGATGATTCAAGCAGGGCCTTGAGGACTGGCTAAAAGATCAGCAGGCAGAAAGCAGAGGTGAAACAGTAACCAGAGAGCCCCCAAAGACACAAAGTAGGGCACTCAGTCCCCTCGCTTTAGGGCTAGAACACCGTAAGATAATACCAAGGTTCTGTGCAACTATAGTGATGCTTAGCAAAAATGGAAAAGGAGAGGGAGATGATGTGCAATGTATATATACTGATTTTGAAGTGTGAAAATAGCTAATACGAATAGCATTTGAGCTCAAGTTCTAAAAAAAGTATACAGCCATAGAGACATTAGGGAAGACAGCTGAAAAGACTGGATTTCACTATCCCAGCCTCAAGCCAGTTCCTCACCTGGTCAGCAAACATTTACTAAGCACTTACTGTGTACAAGACAAGGAAAGGACAGTTACAATATTAGACAAGATCTGCTCTCATGGATCTTATATTTTAGCAGAGGAAGATACCTATAAATAAAAATAAAGCAGAGTAAGGAGGCCAGAGCACGGTGTGGTTTCTCAATACAATGACTAGGGAAGACCTCTCTTAGCAGAGATTTGAG